CTACCAAGCAGTGTGGAGGAGATGACATCCCCTGAATGCATCCCTGCCCAATACGAAGACTCACACCAGCAACCAATCACACAGAAACGTCCAAGACTGCACCTCTATGGCTCATACTCACCTTCCCTCTGGTTGTAAATGATGTTTTTGCAAAGCAGATCGTTGTGGCAAAGAACTACAGGAGAGCCCAGCACAGACAAGCTCTGCTGCAGCCACAGCAGCTCTTTGCTGAGGGACTGAGGGCCGGGGACCTCCATGTTCAACCTGGAAGGAGCCAAAAGATCCACACTCTGAGCCATGCTGATGTATTACACAGGAAAATAGGTTGGTTTACGTCGAGAACTAGTTAAGTTTGACTTCTGCCTTTGCATAAAAATACCATGTAGCAGAGACAAATTAACAAATGCCACCTGCCAGGTGAGGAAAAGCATGTGACTATCTCATTATGACTTCATGTTCTGGTTGCAATTTCACAACCCAGCAGGAACAGGATGTGCATAGCTCATTTTTTCCTAAGGCAGTAGAAAAAAACCGGTTCTCAACATATTTTACTACCAATTCAATGCAGACAAGGCAATACTTATCCATTAATGCCAGTAGATGCAACATTTTTCAGTAAGTGAATTTTTAAGTCGTTTAAGAGTTAAGAGTCAAGCACTCACCTGTCATGATCCTTGAAGCACTTGGAAATGAGCGCAAGGTACTTGCCCATCTTTAGCCACAGGTCAGAGCGGGGAACCCAGCCGTTGTGGGCATGGATGGCATGGTACTTGGCCAGCTGTCTTGCAATAAGCCTGCATGGCAAGGGCATCGAATATCAATACGTAAAGATGTCTTTGTAAACCAATATAACCAAAGACATGCCCCATACTGCTAATCAGCTGACAGACATGTAAATTTAGATTTCAGTTGGAGATGTCACTTTAAACGGGGTAAAAATCAGAGCAAAGAACCAAGTTATATTTATTGCTAAGAGCAATATGACACAAGGGATCTAAAAGAGGAATTATAAAATAAATAATTATAAAAAGCTCTTACAGTAGAAGGCTTTTTAGTCCACGCAAATCAAGCATTTGTAATCGCATCAACAAACTTTGGTTCCTATAATATTATTCCTTCATTCCTTCACTAGCTGTGTTTCCATTACAAATGTATGCAAAACCTTTTCTATCTTCTGCTGATGTTGGGAAAAAAAACAAAAAAAAACATGGTGGCTAATGTTTAATTTTGCAATTGCAATTAAAATCACACATGAAGAACTTTGTTCACGCAATAAGTCAGAAAAACATCCCACGCCACCATCCTCCAACTATTTCTTGTCGTCTTCATCTTTTCCGCCAGCAGCAACAAAAAAAAATTGATCACGTGACTTATATGATGTAAAAAAAAAATTCTTTCCATCACACTTTCCTAAAACCACTAATTTCGATACGGTCAAAATCACCGCATTCTAGTGCAAAAACTTTATCAAATAATATATTTCAAACTTGCTGTGTTTGTTAAATTCATTTTTGTAATTCCAGTTTGCTCAATTATGGTCAATGGAAATGTAGAATATTGAAGGTAATTCTCATGATCATCGACTTGTCGGATGAAAAATCAAAAACAAAACACCATATTTCACTGGAACTTAAAAAGAAAGTATGAAGAAAAAAATTTAAAATGTGACTTAGCACTGTTACTGTTTTGACTGCATTTTGGGATTTTTGTTCCGGTTTGTCTTCTTCCCTTACCTGAAAACAGCTTGGCTACGGATATGCTCCGGTTCCAAGGCAGTTCCTAGCAGGAATTCGTAGCACAGGCCATTGTTGAAGGTGCAGTAAAGGCGGGGGGCACAGCGGTGTGCGTGCAGCACTCTGAAACTTTTAATCTCGTTGTCCCGGTCGACCAGCAGCTCCGTTTTGTTGCCATAAATGCGGACCAGCACCACATCCTGCATGATTGTGCCCACATAGCAGCCAAGCAGCTTGTTGGTTATTCCATCAGTGAAAAACTGCAGAGAGGAACAGCATCACCTACAGTTAAATGCATTGCCATGGACATGACTAACCATCAGCTTTTATACTTCATGCATTATTTGAAGTCCAGATCTGTATTTAAAAACAAGTCATTAGAGCAGAAACATTACTATGAAACTAGTTTATTTTGTTCAACTTGAACAATGGAGGCACACTGCAGCGGTTGCAATTGAGAAGCAAGTATTATAACATTGGATCAGTTAATGGTTTTAAACATTTTTAAAAAAATGCATTTTAGATATTTAAAATATCTTCTAGTTCCAATGTATTTATTATTATTTGGTGGGATAAACTTGCGTTATTATGCGATCACTGCTATTATATTGCTTGAAAGTGGTCTCAAAAACAAAAAATATTACCGTTTATCCCAATAATTTCTGGGACAATTTATTGTTCATTTATCGTAAAATGTGTTATTGTGACAGGTCTATTTATTTCATAAAGTATAGCTTATAGTTCTGCTAAAAGTTCCCTGCATACACAAGAAATAACAATGTGTTCATTAATGTTCATAAAAAGTCTGAAGACTTTCTGTCTCTGTTTAATCTGTTAAACATTAGCAGAAAAGTGGCTAACTTGACATTAAACTGCTGTGGCCATAAACATGCTACAATAATCTGTAGAAATCTGTTTAGCTACTGAATTTTGTTTGTACTTCCGTAGAATGAATTGCTCTGGTTTTTTTTATGTCAAAAAATAGATTCAAATGTAAAAGGTCTAGTTGTAAATAAAGGCAAATCAATGAAGTGTTGCAAGATTTAACCATTAAGCTTAGAGAAGGTCAGGATGTGGTAAACATTAATGAAGTAAAGCAGACTGAAACAGAAGTGTGACTTTGTTTGACCAACTTAAATTGACCTATCAGCACAACAAGGCTGGAAATTTACTGGGGGAAGGAGGGGGACAAAGGGGGATCTCAGCTGGCTACGTAACCGTCAGACTGTTTACTCTGTCTAGGACTGACGGAGAATGACAGGATTGCATGGAATTTTATTTTTCCACGCACAAGGTCAGACTGGTATTTGCTGAACCTCCCACTTTGCCTCATTGATGAATGCAGGGAAAAGCAGCGCCACATGTGATCTTCCGTCCTGGCTGTGTTTACAAAGCTGAGCCACACCCCCGGGTCATCACTGGAGAGGAAAATTTTTTCCTGTTCCGCTTGGCCTGATTTGCCTCGCAGCATTTATCTGCGCGATGGCGTAAGTCAGGTACTGTTTGACTTTAGGACATCTGTAATCTTAAAAGATTAGATTAAGTGAATTATGTAAATCAAATGCAAACGGCAAAGAGTCAAGCTCACGAGGTCGTCAACATTTCTTCCAGAAGTTTCCAAAGCTACTTTATGAAATCCTTCTGATCGCTGAGCTCTAATTATCGGCTTTCCTAACTTCACCACCTGCAAAGTAGTGGTGCTTCATGATATGGGAAAAATGCAGGGGGTGAAAAAGCTTTATCAAAGTTTCAAACCAAACACGTTTTCCATGTTTATTTCCCTTTTCTGTGGGAAAAAGTACCCCTGCTGTGTGGCAGTGTAGCTAAATAATAATAAAAAAGTCTAAAAGTCTAATTAAAATATGCAAATGACACCTATATTCCCAATTATTGCAACACATGTCACAACAGCAAATGAAACTTTATTACCTTAAAATGATACATATGAAAATAAATGGAATAAAAAAAAACAAAGTGTCAAAATTAAAATCCTCATTTCCCCCATATTTATAATAAACTACCTATCCGGTGTTTTTTTTTTTTTCGTTCTTCCTATTTTTTTTCTTTTTTTCAGGGAGGCAGAGGGGGTTGGGAGCGTGGCCTCGCCCAAGGTACGCGTCATAATAGAAACACCACTGCTAACAAATGTACATCGTTATGCCAAGGTTTCGGTAAAGTCTGCTCCACACATTATCAGTTCTGTTATCTTCACAAATGGAACTGGGATGCAAGCAGAGTTTAACAGCCGATAACAAGCGGAAGCAAAAACATTCGGTTCTAGATGCTAACCCAAAGTTAAAGTATTCATGATAAAAGGGCCACCTTCTACCTCTGCATCTATCGATACGTTTTGGATGCTATGAAATGTAATTTAGTTGAAATATAGCATATATATTGTCCTTTCAGCGCCTTTCGACGATATAACCCTTCCGTTTTGTGTGACGTCAGCTTGTGACATTCATTTAAATGGGACACCTAGCTAGCTAACTTGAAGATAGCAAATTATTTTAAAAAATCTCACATATTTGGTCTTACAGCGTGCGAAAATACAGTCCACTAAACGAAGTCTTTTTTCCCCCCAACGTTTTCGAAAATAAAACGACATAACTATTACCTTCATTTTAATTTCGGACGGCTTCCAGCTCGGTCTGAGCTCCTTCATTAGCCGCAGTGCACCCGGTCGGTAGTCGTTCTCATCGACCGTCACGTCTATTTTGGGCACAGCGGGAGCCTTGTCTGGGACGTGAATGTAGTCGGCCATGGCGAAGACGGTGTTTCACAAGAGATCTCACACGACGAAGTAAGTGGTACTGGAAACGGCAACACGGTGCGCAACGTATGAAACGGAGTAAGTGACTGCGGGTATATATTCCTGGTGCGGTCGCTGTATGGCAACGCCTCTCAGAAAGAACCACCCATCCGTGAGGGGAGAAAAGTTCCCAGTCGCAGTACGTAACTCCGCCGACTCGTTAGAGCCGCTTGTTTATATCATCGGCGTGCACCGCTGGCGGAGCTTAAAGCAGCACACATCATGTTTTAACCCTAGCTGTTCAAATAAATGATTAACTAAATTTCTAATAACTAAAACATTTAAAGGAATAAATTAATTAAACTTAATGAAGACTTCAAATGTAAAACTTTCCATATTTCTCAATTTACTGGTTTCTCAATAGTAGACTGCGAGCCCTGGCGAATTAACAGAAACGTCCACAACCGTACCAGTCAGGTCACGTAAACGTCACATTCGTAATAAATAACTTATTTAAAATATATTTATTTAAGGCATTTAACGTAAAATTTCAGTCGCATTAACAACATAAACAATACTATTAATAATTTAAAAAATATATACGCTATTACGTAACCTTCAAGAACCAAGAACTAACTGCAGGGCAAATATACAAAGGACATCAGTCAGAAATAGACACTCAAAATGTACAATTTAAATACGATTCCTTAAATGAATAACTCATAAAAGCAATCTGAACTGTATTGATAGAACCTTGATAAAAACTCTTACATCCAATCAAACCCTAAAAATCAGCCTTATTTCCTATTACTTTTCCAACGGAGAAAAACTATTTGTTTTTTTTGTTTTTTTGTTCATGAGGGCTCCCAATGCCCACAAGCTCTGGAGATGAAGGCCAAACATTATTAATGGTATTAACTACATAAATTGATAAATCAGCCCCCCATTCAGAATAAAAAAAAAATACACCAAACGAGTTGCTTCAGGCACACTGATAATTTTACATATAATCTTTTCCTTGTGAGACGCTTTCAAATGTGATCAACTTTAATCACGAATGAATGGATGCATTTTCTTTATTGTTGTATGATATTGTGATAGTCAGATGTAGTACTACATTAACCAAACGTTTTGGATTTCAAAACACAGAATCTGTGCCGACAAAGACATTGAGTCAAGGTAATGGAGGAAACCTTGCTTTTCCTACTTTCCAATCACAAACTTCAATGCATTTTATTGAAAATGTATGAACTACACCATCAGAAAAAAAGTACAAAATGCAGAGAATGATAATAAATACTTTTTTCTTATGAATAGTCCACTGCATTCACAATTTCTACCAGGTAGAAATTAGTATCTTAGATTTGCATTTGTGTCAGTGTTAGCGTCTTAGAGGACTTTCCGGAACAGAATTTGGGCCACTGAAAAAAAATAGAAAATTCTGACTTTATTGACCAATTAAATCCAACAAATTTCTCCAGAAATGTAGTTCTTTTCTTCTTCACAACTCACATCTCTGTCCTTGAAGCTGGTTGCTCCCAGGAGCTCATCTGCAGTCAAAATTCTGAGAAAGAAACACAAATATTTCTCCTTTTTCTTCCTCTTTCAGAGGACTTGATTAAAATGACACAGTTACTTGTTTTATCTAACAAAAGAGGGCTCTTGAAACAACCGTTGAATAAAAAAAAAAAGAACATAAAGTCTTAATTGTGCACGAGGGACCTTCTGGAGTCAGGAGCAGTAGCAGGTTATCCGCCCACATATCAGCCAATAGGATCAGAATGAATTACACATCAGCTCTGAAGCTACTGTGGCTTCCAGAAAACGTTTGCACTCTTTAACTCAACCTTTTTCTGGTCATTGATTAATGAGAAAGCTTCTCAGAAAAAGACTGAAAAATGTTAAATATTTGCAGATTGTGCAATGAGCCGTTTCGTCTCTCCTTCTGGACGGAGGGACGAAATGGCTCCATCTTGCAGGTTCCAGGTGGATTCGTTTAGAAAATTGATGAGTTCTTTCAAAATATCTAAAAAAAAAACAAACAAAAATGAATTAAGAAAAATGCTGCACGGAGACTAAAAACCCTGCTGTATTCCCCTGACAGCGATAAAACTCGCTGACCCTCTCTCTTCTTCCACAGCATGCCAGGCCTGATTGCCTCGTTACTTAGCAACCTTCATAATGAATAGGTTGCTTCTTGAGTTCTCTCCAAACCAGCTCTAATCCAGCGTCTCCATATGAACGGGGATTTTAATTGGATCTTCAAACGCGTGCCTCTGTTGACTCTCCCTCTTGACAGTTAACAGGTTGCTCTCTTCACACACACTCACACACATGCACACAAAAAGGTATTTTATTTCCAACCTGGAAAGATGCCCTGAGATTATTCTCTTGTTTTTTGTTTTTTTTTCTATTTATATGTATGAGTAATTTTCCATAATTCCCAGAAGACATAAAGCCTTGTTACTATGCCAGCCCAGGTCAGCCAGCGGAGACACCTCTCTCACTGTTAGTGACTTCCTGCTGCAAAGACACCGATGTGGTAAACACAAGGTCATGTTACGCAAGAGTTCAAGTAAATCAACAAAGGAAAACAATAAAAATGTAGTCTGAGTTCAAGTAAGGAGTTTGCATTTTAAAACCACTTTTGGCTCAGTCATCAAGCACTTCGGTTAAAAACCCCCAAAAACATCTAATTTAAAAGTTTTCAATATTATTGCCTTTCTTTTAGTTTTTTACTAAATTGTAATGGATTTAATTGACCTACTGACCTGAAAACATTAACATTTTACCTACTTACTAATAAAATAAATGTCTCTTTCTTCATGGTTATCCAGACTTTGGAGACAGCAGTTAGTCGAAGTAGTCCTCGATGTCGATGTCCGGGTTGAGCAGCTCCTCTCCGTACGCCGTCAGGTCCATCTGGTTGAGGATCAGGTTTTCGAACGTCTCCTCTAAATCGGTTTCTCCGATCAGCACGGCCCCCACCATTCTGCCCCCGCTGAGGACCACCTGCACGTGGAAAATGCCGGCATTCAGTTACAAACGAACTCTGTGCGTATTCTGATTTTAAGGTCTCAACAACAATGCGTCATCTGATTACAGTGACGGGAGAACGGAATACAGACATACAAAAATTATACTTTTTTTTTCTCTCTCCCCAAGTTCCGATAATTTAATTTACACGACAAATGATCTTCATTCTCTCTCTGAATTTTAAGGTTGTGGGCCGTTTGATCCAAAAGTATTGACAGGCCTTCGACTTACAACGATGTCTTGTCATGTTGTAACCAGAAGCGTGAAAACTTTCACTTTTATTTTGTAGAAAACAAATTTAAAATCATAACAAAACATTGAAAAATGAAATAAAAACCATGACAACCTTATCATCCATGTATGTGATTTTTTTTTTCATCAAAATGAAAACATAAAACTAATTCAAAATCTTTGTTCGTTACATTGCTATTATGTGTCAAAAAATGACAACAAATCTGTAATGGGTTGTTTGTCTGCACAAAAAATGCACATTTGCCATGATACAGGAGTTTATTTAAAGTTAATATTACTTAATAGTGATGGAAAAGTGCTAGTTACAGGTAAATTAATCTGGCAGTAGAACAAAATATTAAATAATTGACTGAAAATGAGCTCCTTTTTCTTGCTTACAAGTTACTTGTACTTTAGCTTCATCTTATTTTAAGTGTAATGAGATATTTGAACTCAAAACTGCAGCAAAAATACTTGGTAAGGTTTTGATTTTTTGCAGTGCTGTGTCTCATGTCACCAAATCTTTCTGATATTGGTAAACTTAGCAAGAAAACACCTGGACATTTTGATCCTATCTATATAAAAAAGGAAAACATATCAACTAGAGACATTAACAGAAACACTGCGGGAATCTTCCCGACACCAGCGCCGACCTTGACGTACTCCCGGCCTTTGGTGCAGCGAACCAGCAGCTCGTGGTCGGACCCCAGCCCCTGTGCGTTAAACTTCCCCAGCAGGACCACCTGAGGAAGAAGCAGAAACCATAAAAAAATGGCCTGCTCAATTAATCCCTGGTTGTCATCTACGCAGCTCGGCTAGCTGGAGGCCAAAACGTCGCTTACCTTGTAGTTGAAGAATTTGGTGACGTGCGAGAAGAGTTCGAAGCAAAAGTCAAGATCGATCGGCTCGGAGAGGACGTCAGCCGCCATGCAGCGGCCCGCGTGCCAGCCCATCTGACGGGCCTGCGTCCAGAGCCGCATCTACACACACACACACACACACACACACACACACACACACACACACACACACACACACACACACACACACACACACACACACACACACACACACACACACATCTTTTTTTTCCCCCACCAGATGTAGTCCGCTAATGCTTTTCAAACTAATACATTTTGCAGTGCTTCTACCTGCTGCCAAAGTGTGCTGTGCTCCCAGCATGCACTGCACACATCACCTGCTGCGTACACATCCGTCTCTGATGTCATCATGTGGTTGTCTACTTGAAGGCCGCCATCGTCTGCCAATGAGAACTAGACGGGGAAAGTGGGGAAAAAAAGTTCCTGATTGTCAACAATATCTGATTATTATTATTATTATTAGTTGATTATCACAGAGAAAAAAGCGAGAACTAAGCAAATGGAACATTTACGTCAAGGGTGAAAATATGTGAAATATTTAACAGTTCCAATTTAATATAAGGGTTTAAAAATAAAAGAAGAAAAAGACTTTCTTGAAGCCGTTTTGTTCAGCTTTGAGGCAGCTTTTAGATATTCGACCAAAGTTTATCTTCTCACGTTGTTGCCGTGGAGAAATGGCTCTGTGTTTGGGACGACCCCGGTGGCGCTGACCACGAAGTCGCAGCCAAACGTCTCGCCATTGGTCAGCTGGACGTAAACCGGCCAGGATCCTGCTGGGAGAGAAGAAAAGCGAGGGGGTGAGTGGAGAGGGAGAGAAGAAAAGAGGAAAGCGGGGGAGCAAAAGAAGAGTTGGAGAAGTAAGAGGAGTTCCCACCAGTGTCAGGTTTTGGCCTTTGCTGTGAGGAGACGAGGAACTCCTCTGAGGTGAAGATGTGTTCCACTTCACACTGGTACGCCACTGAAACTCTGCGGGACACCTGAACAGAAACAGAAAAAGCGAAGAGATATGTGAGAAACAAACGAGGGCTTCAGAGCACACACACACACACGCACGCACACACACACACACACACACACACACACACACACACACACACACACACACACACACACACACACACACACATCATCCCACCTGCTCCGCTCCTCGCAGCTCGATTCCTCGATGCCAGTCCGGGCCGAGAGCGCTGCCGGACTCGACGGGACCGGGGTTCTGCCCGCGGGAATATTCATCTGGGAATGAAAAACATAAAAAGGTATACAGTCACAGAAAAAACACCATTTGCTGAAAGAACAACACAGTCACAGCAGTAACATAGATGTTTTGCACAGAGCTGGGTGATATAACTTAAAAATAAAATCCCTGGGTTTTTTTTAACTAAATGTGATTTATGATTTCCTTTAAAAAAATTACAGAAAATATCTTTCAAAAATTATTTTATTTCAACTTTAAATTGCAAGTTTAAAATTCTCAGATCAATTTTGTGAATAGATCTGAAAAAAAAAGCCCTTGTCATCCACAACGGTTGTTCTTGGATAAAATCGCTATGGAAAGAGGTGAATTTCCAGAAATGTAATCTTCAAACACAGCAAATTTGATTAATGGATGGAATCGATTTATCTCCCAGAACCTAATTTTGTGATCAGGCATACACAAATTTTGGGTTTGGTTCCCTTCTATTTAAAATCCTCGAATAAACTCCTATGCAACCAGTTGGTTGGAGAACACACATAATCAAGGACACCAAGGAACACGTGAAAAACCACAAGAGACATAGAAACATCCTAAGTACCGGCTGTGAAGGTGTGCGCAGCATCCGGTTCCTCCGTGGTGAAGCGCTGCCTTTTGCACGGCGTTGCCGCCGGCTCTTTGTCGGCCTCCAGCGACGGGATGAGGAACTGCGCCGCTCCCGCGTCAAAGAAGGTGTTTCCAATGGCTTTGTCCTTCACAGCCCAGATCACCTCACAGCGCCTCACCTCATACCTGGGAAAAAAAAAAAAAACTGCTCGTCAATACATATGCGTAAATACAGGCAATGATAGCAGGTTAAAATGAGGAGAAATGACTTTGCACTGTTGAGTCACTTACACCAACTCCAACGCGATTCCTCCGTTTCCGACGACGACGATTCTCTTAGCTTTGGATAACCGCTTCTGAAACTCCTGCAACCCCCAAACATGCTGTGTTACCTCAAAGCAAAATGTCACCATTTCAAATTGCACTGCTTGGATCTTCAGCTTAATCATTTTCAGGAAATTCTACTCATTTATACTCATGTCTTCAAACATAGTTAGCTGAATTGCAGCTAAAGATGCAATCTAATGCAACCAAAAAAGTATCACTGCTGATTATGAGAAGTGGACTTTCAATATTTTTTTTTCAGACAGGGCAATTTATTTCATAGTGGATTTAGGCAAATTAACTACAGTCATCATTCTGGTAACACATGTGACCACTTTTTGTATCAGAAAAAAAATTTATTAATTTAATTTGACCTACTTTTAGATATGGTCTCAGTGATCAGGGACATTCTGAAAACTTCAATGTCAGCGTGATTAGACTATTTGTAAAGTCCTTTTCAAGTGTATTTGAGTTTCCTTTAGTGTCCATAGCAAATAAAATATAATTTCTGTCAAAATATGTATTTAAAGCTTAAGATGTGTAGTTTTGGTATAGAAAAGTGTATGTTTAATAATAAATTCAAACTTGCTGACTGAGATTTTCCGCCTGAATACAAAAGTATTCAATTCACTACTTAAAATACCAAAATTAAAATAAAATGTATCCCAATCATGACAAATGTAAACCTTGAACTCAAAAACGTGATTGTTATTATTGTGACCTGTGCGCTGTCTGTGTCCCGGATCCCGAGCACGTGTGAGTTCTCCTGGGCCAGGAGTTTCGGACGGGCACCGCTGCAGATACAGAGCTTCTCGTAACCAAACACTCCACCGTCTGTGGTTTCCAAACACTAAGAGACAGAAGAAATAAATCCGTCGAGGAAGGGGGGATTAAATTAATCAATTCTGGAACAAGATCCAACCATCCCACTGTGCCGGTAAGCTATGTGCTGTAACCTTGTGGCCACGTTTGCTGAGGTTTGCTCCTTACATGTGTGTGTGTGCGGAGGGATTTTACAGCAGAATGAATGATGGTCAGGTTGGGAAATTTCTCCTTTAAAACACTGGAGGGCTTTTCCTCCACATCGAACTCCTCCAGTCTGCTGGACACCTAGTGAACGGGACAAGGATCATGATGTGCATAAACATAAATCTCCTCTCAGTTGGAAGTGTAAAAAACTCCAGAGTTCAACTGCTCACCCGTTTATAGTTGGTCACCGCCTTTATGTGGGGACCTGCTGTAATAAGAGCCACGGCCTCTGATGGAAACTGAGATGACAGCTGCAAGTGGAGATGGTTTTTTAAGTTTAGAAGTCACATATAGAATATGTGGAGATCTTTGTTTAAAAGTTTTGTGTAAATCCCATGTCTTTTTCAGATTCTTAAAAACTGTTTATGATGACTGAGAAGAGAACTTTTTCAAAATGCTCAGGGTTGTCTTTATTGCTAACCGTGCATTTCTCTTTTTTAACACTAAAAAGACCAGAATACTAGAATATGTGGACATCTTTGTTTAAAGGTTTTGTGTAAATCCAGGTAAGATGATTGTTGTTTTAGAGCTGTATACACTTTCACAAATAAATTATTCCACAGCTTCACAGATGACAAACCTGATGTTAGAGAATCTATAAGGAATTCAGTCCACATTTTACAAGCCTAAATATTCGATACATTTAACCTGAATTGAGCAAATGTATTGAAAGCTCCCTAAAGTATGGAGACAGGCCTTTACTTTAGCAACACTCTGATGCCAACAGACTTTTTAGAGCTTTTAGTTTCACCCGTAAGTCTTGTTTTTACCTGCTCCACGCATGTTACGCCCGCAATGCCACCTCCGACCACGACAAACTTAAACGTTTTCTCCTTTTTATTCTCCATAAGTCAAAAAGCTAACATGCTAACAGCACTGACGTTGTAGAAAGCGTCGCTTTCAAACCGCAAAATTGGTTTTTATTGCCTAAGGTTTCTTCCCCAACTTAATCCGAAAACAAATAAACTCCAAGAACACGTTCACATCAAACATAACTCTTAAAAATGTCAAATGTTTCAAGGTAATTCTAGGAAGCCTATTGTGGCAGTCCGTGATACAACACTGGTTTTACGTCACTTCCGTATTTACATTTACCTTACGGCAAGCAGCAGGGCATGTTTTTTTTTTTTTTTTTTTGGGGGGGGGTGAGGGGGGAAAATCGAGCAACATCTCAGGTTCACTAAAAACAGAATTAAACACAATTACATGTATATAACACTTTGATATGATACGTTTGCTGGTAAAGGTTGCCATTGAAGATTGCAGTTTGTATCTGCTCTCCAGTAGATGGCGCTAAAATCCTTCGCGTTTTCACAGCCGTTAAGCCAGCGTCATAAAGTCTATTTGTATTAGTGATTTAAAATATTATTATTATTATTTATATAAAAATATTTATTGATTTGAATACGCATCGTCTGCGAAATAATTTTGTTCATTTCTTTTTTGGAAGGTGTGTAATATGTGTCAGTGTTTATATTTGCCACTTCTTCAGATGCTATTTTTAAGATGTGTACAGAATTTAAAAATGTCGATTTTTAAGTTTGAAAAAAAAGAAGAGAAAAGGTTAAAAAAACATAGAGGAAAAAAATATAGGCTAATTGAAGTTGTTTCAGCTGCTTGGACAAATTACAAGTAAATCCTAAAAAAGACTCTTTTACCTTTAATAGCCATCTTTAGTTCCAGTTACAGGTAAAAATATTTTGGGGTTGTCTTTACCAGCTTTTCATGAAAAAACAGATTTTTATTTAGCTATTATTTCTTACTTGTTCTTCCTTACAAATCAGCTCAACCTATACATTCGACTAAATGTGATTTTCAACTGGATTTAGGTCTGGACCCTGACTGAGATGCACTATCACACAAGAACCGAGTCAGTATGTTAGTATGGACATTGATGGCGTCACACTGACACAAAAAAAGTGATCAAAACCCTTTTGATATAGTCCCCGCCTGATATTTTGGGCTCTTCTCTTCTCTGTGCAGCAAAGCCAGGCAGGTGTTGCCCTGTGGGGAAGTTACAGTTCATCATTATAAATGCATAAGCTGAAATTCCATCAAAGCATTCCTCAACCTTAATCATGATCACAACAAACAACCCGGCAACAGAGCCCATTTACAGGCCTCACATGAAGTATTCGACAGATCTTGACACGGTCCCCGTTCTCTATCGGGGAGTGTTTGTCAGATAATGGCTGCGTTGTGGTTTTTTTTTTCTTTTTTTCTTTTTTTCGGACTCATCAGCAAAAGCCGCCACTTGTTCTATTTTTGATAAGCCTTTTACACGGGTGTTAGCCACGCGCGGGGGTATTGATGTCAGCGTCTGAGATGATCAGGTCGCTGCTAATCAAACAGGGGTTGATGCCGTGCGTCACCGTTTCGCTCTTGATTTTCATTACCCCGACTAAGCACCGTCGGAGGACGACACATGACAATATGGGAGGCAATATTGTGATTGCAGCTGTGCCACTAAAGGTAATGTGGGTAAACAATGACTAATAAGCACTAGATGCAATCACTGCATACCACATGACTTTGGAAATAAACTGAGGAAAACTGGGCATAAATGATTTACAGAACTCTTTATCTTTATCGTGTAATTGAAAGCCTTGTGTGTGTGTGTGTGTTTACTTTATTTTAATTCATTTTTGTTAATTGTTGAAAGTAAAATATTACATTCACTAGATGTAGCCGTGGTTAGATTTATGGCATAACTGTGCAAACATTAGATGTTTTGCACATGAGGATTTGCTGGCACCAAAAGTAAAATGAAATCAATTAGAATATAGAATAGGTGATCTGTAGAAAGCAGTGGTCTGTATCACTTACTAACATAACAAACAATAATAAGCATACCCGTGGAATGATTTTTAATACACATACCGACATATTAAAGACAGAACAAGGTCAGAGCAGACAGAAAAGTACAAAGGCACAAAGCGATGGCTTATTGATGGCATCTTCCAGCAAAAAGTCTGAGCTTGAAATGCTTCTGTGGTTAAAGAGAAACAAAGATACTACACTTTATGCACTTAGGTATCATATTCTTTCTTTTAAAGTTATCTACTGCTTTGTGTGTGTCTATTGCAGAAAATCTAGATGAAATACACAAATGTTCATGGTTGTGAAGTGAAAATATGTGAAAACATTGAAGAGGGTTTGCAAAGACCAGATAAAGTGCTATCATCTTGATGTTGGGTGATGTGCAATATTGGTTTTCCACAAATGTCCCATTGGAATCTCGTTTGACCAGAGTTCCGTCTTTCATATTTGTCTTTGTTCACACTGGAATGTTTTTAACTTTTTGTGCCCTACCTTAACAAAAGGTTGGGCACAAGTTCCAGAGGGAAAATTTTACAGTTACGTATTAACGTGCAGCAAATCCCCTCTGTTGTGAAAACAATAACGTATTAGCCAAAGTGCAAACCTTATCTTTATCCCAAATATGTATGTTGTGCTAATTTCTAAACAAAAACTAATCTTTTGTGAAGACTGTGTGTGCATGTCCACGTTTAGCTCCACCTACAGGTCTGGGGGAGTAAAAACAGTGTTCTGTCCTGCTTTTGGCGTTTCTATGTGGCTCAAAACATTTCGAAGAACATTTTCAACTGGAGATGTGGGTATTTTTAAAAACAACGACCCATTTTATGAAACAATAAAAGCATCCTCAAGTGGATGGAGTTTAAAATGGCTCATGGCAAACTGCAGAGAAGGTTTCTTTGTTCAGTGACTTTCTTCAGATCAGTCCTCCAGAAAGGTCAAATTTGTGAAATGCCGACCAAATGATCATCCTGTTGAGATCGTCTGCCATTTTCTGGCTCTCTGGGACTGGATTTGGACACCCATGGTTGCTGTGTAAATTGTCAAAATAGAGCAAACCTGAAGGTGTATGAATACTGTAGCCTGTGTCTCCAAAGCTTGTTTGTTCCCAGGCTAAGGTTAATACTTTCATACCATAGCTGAGCAATAGGGTGTCACAGTAAACCAAGTATTTCTTCAGGGTTACCTGTGGTAACATTTAATCTGTTAAACTCTATTAAATAACTCATTCATTACCTGTGACTTACAGACACATTCAAAAGCAGTCTTGAATAACGAGCAAGGGAAACAAAATGTTCACCATGTTTTCCCTCCCAACCCGTAGAGGAAGAAATACTTTTATTGGTTTAATGGGCATCTTGTGCTGAAACAGAAATCTCCTGCAAGACTCAGAGATAAATTTCAACATTTTATTATCAAAACATCTCAGATGATTCATATTAAAGGGCTTTACATTTCTTCTGTCTGACAGAATATTTGAATAATTATTTTATTTTTTGAATGTTTTTTTTTTTTTTCCATTTCATTAGTGCTGTGATCTACGACATTCACAAAGCCGGAAGAAAACACATGGATTTAGATGGCTTAACTCAAAGGCACTGTATTCTTGATGCTTATCAAATGATACATTTTTTAAAATCATCTTATGGAGTCGTCTTTCTCACATTCATTATAACACATAATCAATACGTCTCTGGGTCGTTCTCCCGGTTTGTACTAGAAAGGCAGGTAGTCGGGAGGCTGACGTATGTCCCTCTTGCCGTAGGTGCTCGAGCCCACGTTTGTCGGGACGTAGACCGTTCCGATGGTGTTACTAGACCGGACCAGGAAGTCTGCTAACCTCTGGGTCACACAGGTAGCTGTGTTGCACTTTCTTTTCTGTAACTGATGACTGAAACGGATGGAGAAAAAAAATAACATTTGCAGTTGCTTTTATCGTGTTTTCACACTATAAAGACTCATGTTCACGAGCGCGTACCTGTTCGTTGCTGTTAGCCACCTCGGCGGTCGCGCGCCCATCAGGCCGAGCAACGGGTCGGAGATTAGCTCAGGCAGTGACCTGCTCTCCTTGTCTATAAGAGCATTTTCTTGTTCGTCGTCGACGGAGGAGCCGAAACTGAAGTACCTGGATTACAGACAGAATAGGGTCAAAGCATTTCACACTGATGATGCCCACTTTAAACTAGCTGCTAGTCCTGAGAGGCCGAGTGAGATGGGGGGAAAGTGGCCACTTAGTTAGCCATGCTGGGGTTGCACAATGGAGAGCTTTCCCATCGAAGCGGTTTGACTTTGTTTCACAGTTACACGTACGAGCTGAGGTGTCTTCCAGTCAGCACATTACCGAGGGAGCTCTGTGGAGCTGTCAGGGTTCGCGTTTCAATGGATTTGATCAGTAAAGCTAAATTATGGAACTGCTGTCCACTTTATAGATTCTCCAGGTTATGGCTTTGCTGCCGCTCACCTGTGGTTTGGAGCGGCTGTGATGCAGCGGAGCAAGACAAGCGCTGCCAGGAGAAACACAGGCACTCTCAGGTGATACATGGTGTTTCTGATGCTGATGACTTCCTGGAGAAACACAAAGGGTTTCAACAATGTTAGACTTTGTTTTCTCCAGTTCTCTAGGGTTAGGGCAACCACTTATTAAAAAGATGCTTGGAAAACATCAATCTGGTAATATAACACTGCATCCATCTATCTGTATTGTTTTATTTGATGCAACTTGAAATGTTCTAAAATGTATAATTACTTTTTTTATAAGATTACAACATGCATCTTTACAGAAATAGTTTTTTGTATAGCATGATATGCAAATTGGTATAGAAAACATTTATGAAAAAAAACAGGCAAAACTCAATAAAAAACTAATTTCAATATGAAGTCAAAAAATAATAGCTGAGATCAGTCATTTCTCACAGGTGTTTAATTATTAATACTGAATCAATAAATACCCAAAGGATTTGATGAGTGAATTGTTTTTTAATCTCAAAATATCAATAGAAAAAATATTGCCATGATTTATAAAAATGTATTATAGCTTTACAGGAAACTGATTTATATTTTTGATAGAATAATCCAGCTTTTCGCTAATGGTTTTAAATTTGGTCAAAATCACTTGCCTTTGAAAATCTTGAAAAAGAAAAACAGTTTAAGTGAAATCTTGCATCAAAAACCAAAACAAGACATCTGCAAAAGTCCAAAATTAAAACAAGAATTTAGTGTCAGTAAAATAATAATGATAATTTTAAAAAAAGGAAAGACATATAGGAACTGGCAGGTACTCACTGAGGGTAACGTTTCGTCCTCGTCTTGTCTGTTGAGCAGTCCGATGGTTTGTCAGGCTGTCACAGTTTATAAGCTCTCTGCTCAAACCACTTGTGACATCAGCTCTCTCCAAATATAGCCAAGCAATTTTATTTTCACGCAGGGTTGGGGTGGGGAACGGAGGAACCTCATGTATATCACATCTGATCCACTCTGATAAATTCAGATTCGTTTTTGGACAGCCACTGCAAATGCACGCACATACAGAGGTACTGGTTTACGTCATCATCACCATCACCTTCTTCGTCACCATTGTCATCAGTCGCCGTGTTGGGACTGACCTGCCGCAAACTCAACAGAGAGCAGAACTCTGTCAAAGTGCTGTTTGCCTTGTGAGGCACCTCATGAATAACAGGTCGCCAAACTTGAGACCCTGAGGGGCTCCAAGGCGATTAATAATAGATTTTATTTAATAATGAATAGTCGCTTATCAGTTTAGTGTGATATGTCATTCACTACAGATTACTTCATAATGTAATGATGAAATGTAAAAGAAACCTAATGTAGAAACTAAGAATGACTTTTTTCAATCCCCAAACTATATGCTTCAAGCTCATTTTAACATTAGGCAAAGCCAAACTGAGTAAATACAACAAAACAAATAAACTTTTAAAGTATGGCTTGTTCAATGGAATAAAAAAAATATCTGTCACCACTATTGGGAAATCATAAATTATATATGATTATTCAAGACTTTTGTTTCAGTTTCACTAGTCAAGAAATTCTTAAAAGTAATACATTGTCCAATCTAAAGATGTTCAATGGCAGATGAGAAACAAAGTCAATAACATTTCTCAAGTGTGGAAAGAGTTGGGAAGTCATTTCCAGGTTTGGGAGTCAAAGTGGGAACCATTATCCACAAATGATATTTAACAAGATGATTCTATGCATCAATGACACATTCAGAAGGTAACAAACTAAGTCACTGTTCGACAATTATGTTGTAATTCTCTTTAAATACATTGTTCTGGATTTTGGCAGGAAGGACTGTGTCCAGCAATGCAAATAAAGTTGTGTGTCCATCAAGGCCTTTGGGAATGCGACCGACCAATGACAAATCTGACTTTATACCTTTATGGCAATTTTTGATGTGGTCGATATGGCTCACTGCCCAGGGCGATATTATGTCAGAGGGTGACTCAGGCAGGTTCTGTCAACTGGGCCACAACAGGTTATCTATTGGCTGTTAGGGATGTCCAGTCAGTAGAGATTGGAGACGTGGCAGTACAACGCCACTGGCTGATGCTGATGGTGGTGTCTGATTTAACATTTCTTTTTAACCCTGAATTCAAAGGCTTGCTGGCCTTAGTTGTATTAGTTTGTGATTTGTTCATGTGGATTTTTAGTCAATTCAATTTCTCTTCACACCAAGACAATTTACAGCATTCAAGATATTTTTCCTACTTTTCTGAGTGATTAGTCATAAATTTTATCTAATGCTTGGAGAGGTGATGTCACACTCTGTGTGTGAGAGACGAGTAGCAGTAAATCTTTGCTAACCTTCCGCTGCCCTCAGTAGCAACTTCCACACCAGGGAAAGTTGCTAGTGTGAGTTGCTAGCAATGTTTCCTGATTAGAAATCGCTAGCCAGATTCTGAGTGCATCTCTGCTTCCTTACAACTACACTTTATCTTAAACAGAGTGATTGTTTTCCATTCACCTCCCAAAGCTTTGCACAAGACTCATAAAAGTTAAAAGGAAACCAGGAAAACAAACTCAATAAAAATTAATTTCTCATACAGTTTGCGTGAAGACTAAAACATAGATTACCTAGATTTACCTCAATCTCACTGGACACTGATGTTTAATTGATTGCAATCCAATGAAAACCCAACTGTAATTAATATTTGACCGCTGCCTACGATTCAGGCAGCCTATATTTTTTCTTGTCAGAGGAATGGAGGGAAATTGTCATCCTGACCCATGGATCACCCAGGACCGCTAAGGAGGCAGATTTTTCCCAGTAAGTAGGAACATTTCTGCTTCAAGAAAACAAAGTAAAGGCGTTTTTATTGCAAATTTACTCACATTTGGATTGAATGCAAACACCAGTCCTCATAAGCTGCATAAATGTCCAGCATGGTTTGTTTCTGCTTATGGTGTCGAACATGATTGAGATCAAAAGTCGCCAGGAGATGATAGGTAAACCTGCACCCTGCACCCACAGATTTAATGACTGTGGTCTCTAATAATAATTGAGAGGATCCATTCTGTAGTGTTGACAGTGGATTATGTCCAAACGTCCCTATTCCTGTAGATGATTCTGGGGCGAAGGTGTTTCAAGAGAGAGAGCATGGTGTATGCATCACTTTCTAGGTCCACCCAGCTCATGACGCATCAGCAAACACAAATAAACAGCGTCAACCAAGCTCCGCTGGGAATACAAACGGAGATCAAAATTAATTGTATGGAAATGAGCGACTCTTTCGTCAATCGAGATGTTTACATTTTTGCTGTTTTGTTTAAATAAGCAGACCGGTTTTCACTTTGGTACTAAATGATCATTTTTATTAAACTTGTAGAAGTAATGATGTGGAGTTCTTAGAACCTTCATAGGACAGTAGATATAACAACAAATATTGAGATTTTCTTTATAAAATGCGAAACACATTGCTTTCTTTCTTGACATGATAGGAAAGTCAAAAGACCACAGTCAAAACATCAGGAAGTGAATTGTGCAGCAACACAAGTCTAGTTCAATCATTTTTGCTTTCAAAATGACAGAGAAGTACATGTAGAAAAAGGTCAGTATATTAAATTGTGGAGTAAAACGAACTGCATTACATCATAACCAATATGGAGGTAAACAGACCTAGCAAGAAAAGACTAACTTGAATTGCCTCCTTCATTGCACAACTTAAGAAATAATTATCTTTTATTAAGGTTTTGTTGACAACATTTTCTGATCATCTATAAGAAAGAAAAACAACTCACCTGAAGTTTCTGTCTGATTCCCGTCATATACATTTATGAAAAATAGACTATTATGTACAAAGAGTCACTCAGTTCGGACTATTTCCCCTCATTTGTCCAAGGCTTTCTCAACTCCAGTAGCGTCTGTTTTGTCAGAAGACACTTTGGGACTTGTGGACCCAGCACTGCTCTTCTCCTGAGTGTCCAGCTGAACCATAATTCCACTTTCCTTTGCTGCTCTGGGTTGTTGCAGCTCTGTTCATCCTGTTGACATCCTCTGCCATTTTCTGGCTCTCTGGGACTGGATTTGGACACCCATCGTTGTTGTGTAAATTGACAAAATAGAGCAAACCTGAAGGTGTATGAATATTGTAGCCTGTGTCTCCAAAGTTTGTTTGTTCCCAGGCTAAGTTTAAAACTTTCATACCATAGGTGAGCAATAGGGTGTCAGAATACCAAGCATTTCTTTAGTTTTACCTGTTGTAACATTTACTGTATTAAACTGTATTAAATAGCTCATTCATCACCACATTCAAAAGCAGTCTTAAATAATGAGCAAGGGACACAAAATGCTCATTGTGTTTTCTACCCCAACCTGTTGAGGAAGAAATGCTTTTATTGATTTAATTGGCATCTTGTGCTGAAACAGACATTTCCTGCAAGAATTTTCTGTGAGAAGCAAAACTTTTCTTCATTTCATTGTGCTATGATTAATGAGATTCTCAAAGGTGGAAGAAAAGATTCATGGATCCAGATGGCTTAGATCAAAGGCACTGTATTCTTAAAGCTTATAAAATCATAAAGAAAAAAAAATCATTTTATGGTGTGATTTATTACCAGTCGTCATTCATTCATTCACTGTTACACATGATCATTAGGTCACTGGGTTTTTTTTTCTCAGTTTGTCCTAAACAGGCAGCTGGACGGGAGGCTGATGTATGTCCCTCTAGCCATTGAAGTACGTGATCAGGTCTACTTTTTTTATTTGTCCTTTGCTGAGAGCGCTCATGACATCTTCTAACCAGTTTTTCAAACAGCTTGATGTTTTGCACGATCTCAATACAGGACGACTGAAACAGATAAAACCTGATGTTGAAAAAACAAAAGAAGACATGTTTTTACATGACAAAAACTTGTGTTCACGAGCGCGTACCTGTTTGCTGCTGTGAGCCCCCTCTGAGGCCGCGCGCCCCCGAGGCCGAGGAACGGGTCAGAGATTAGCTCAGGCAGTGACCCGCTCTCCTTGTCTGCAAGACCATTTTCTTGCTTGTCGTCGGAGGAAGAGTCGAGACTGAAAAGGCTCCTCCTGGATTACAGATAGACAAGGGTCAAAGCATTTCACACTGATGATACCCTCTTTGAACTTGCTGCTAGTCCTGAGAGACCGAGTAAGATGGGAGAAAGTGGTTATTGAGTCAGCCATCCTAGGGTTGCACAATGGAGAGCTTTCTCAAGCCCTTTTTGCACTGGAGGGAACGGGCTTGGCCCAGCCCGGCTCCGTTTGACCCGATCCTATTGGTCTTATAGGTTTGGTTGTTTGCATTGAGCGAGATCGTCACGTAAATCCAGTTCTTGCAAAAACTAACGATGCGATCTCTCCAGTAACTGCAGAAAAGTTTCCATCTTGGGTCTGCCATCCAGCTCCAAGTATATGTGCTTGTCATTAAATGACCAAGGAAAAAATTTACCACAGCATTACATTTAACAGCCAGCTGAACTACCGCTTTGGTTTGCAGGAATATCCCCTCATGAGCAGCAACAGATGCAAAAATCAACTCATTCACACCCTTACCGACTTCAGTTGGAGAACTGTTATCTACTCTTAGCATAAAATATTTGCCGGAAGAGGCGATTGTAATCCTTGTAGAGCAGAAATTCATCATTCAGATCTGTGGTGCTCTAGACACAGAAATGAAAGAATCTCAAAATTTAAGATTATTAGACATTTTTGGTATAATTATGCTCCTTTGTGTTGGAGGCCGTTTGGTTGCAAATCTGAAGATACAGGAAATATAACAAGTTGCCATTGGTGGCGCTATTGCTGTGCACAAGAGATGTGAGCTGGCCCTGTAAAGAAGGCGAGGCTCCCCATTGGAAAATATAAGTTGCCATGTGCTACTTCCAGTTATCTGCTTGAATATCAAGTTCAAAATGCCAACAAGATCAAGTTCAAAACCCTGAGATTATGATTGTGTGGAACTGATGCAGACCAGGAAGTTGAAATATTCATTCAGGATATCGCAGATAAATGGATAATAGTTTAGGTGAAAACATTACATTTCATCATTTATATCCAAACAGCTATTTAGGTTCGCGTTTCAATGGATTTGATCAATAAAG